TGGACAATATCCAAGTCAATACAGTTTGGAGCTGGAGGATCACAGCAGGTCAGGCAACACCAGAGGACCAGGAGAATCGACGTTTTGAGTCTAGAGCCTTCATCAATATCCAAGCTTGGGCTGACAACTAGAAAGTAACATGCTTGCCGCAGAAATGCCAGGCAAAGACCTTCTCCAATAAGAGACAATAAACACTGCCCCTTGACATTCAATGGTGTTACCATCAGTGAATACCCCACTATCAACATTCTGGGGGTTACCATTGACCTGAAACTCAACTGGACTTGCCACATAAACACAGTGGCTACAAGAACAAGTCAGAGGTATGTATACTGAGGTGAATAACTCATCTCCTGACTGTCCTGTCCACCGTTTACAAGGCACAAGTCAGGAGTGTAATGGAATACTCCCCACTTGCCTGGATGGGTACAGCTGTAACTACAATCTAGAAGTTTGACCCCATCCAGGACAAAGCATCCCTCTTGATTGGTACATATCTACAAGCATCCATACCCTCCACCACCCTCCCTAAAGCCATTGTGGATCTACCTGTAGCACGTGGACTGCAGCACTTCAGGAAGGCAGCTCCCTACCACCTTCTCAAGGGCAACGAGGGATGCCAATAAGTGCTGGCCAGCCAGTGATGCACATGTCTTGTGAGTCAATTTTTGAGAAAACCCTGCAAGGGGTAAACACAAGTACAGATGGTAATGTTAGCGCGTGACTGCCAGCATTCCCAGTAATCTTTATTTCTTCTGCATGACCTCTGAGATGCATGCGTACCAGCAACTTCTGGAACCAGAAATCATTACTGCTAACGGTTTTGACACAGTGATTGTCCACGCAACTTTGAGGGGACATTGGTTATGTACCATCTAATGAAGGAGTTGGTGAGAGTGAAAAAAATGAGCCTCTGTAAGTGGAAAAGTCGGGTCTGTTTCCATGCTGTATGACTCTGAGTAGCCGCCAAAAATCAAAAAGCAGCCCTCAATTAAGTCTCAAAAAGTCTCAAACAAAAATGGTTTTGAACCTCGGTGGAGAGTAAGTCAGGCGTTTGACCTGAATCTTCCTGATATTGTGAGGCAGTTTTGATTAAAATTAAAAATTCAGATTTGGGATTCAATCAGTTCCAAAACCCTTTATAGCACTAAAGCCGGGGGAAATTTAATAGGTCTTGCTTAATATAGACATAAATGTGAGAATTTAAGCAGCCTTTATAGTACTATATATGCCTGTGATCTAGGTCTACGCATTAATATTTTGCATTCTTGTATTATCACTAAGTGATAATGGTTCAACATCTTGGTTTTGGTACAAGGTTAGCTGCAGGTACCCAGTGGTACTTCCAAGAATGCTTGTGTCATTTGAAGATTTGATTCTAATCATTTTGTAAAATCTTTGAATTAAAAACCCAGGTTGTTGGTGCAGCTTACTAGAATAATGTGCCTTAGAACCCAATAAGACATATTACAGGTATTAATGTTTTAAAAGCTGTGCAATTTTGTATTTATAACATTTGCCATGACCTGTTAAAAGAAATTTCCTGTTGTTGTTTGCCACAACAAAAGGATCTGTAGAATAGAAGCAGTGGGAAAATGGCTCATTTGTCCATGGTATTTGTTTTGTTGATTAAAAGTTGTATTGTTCACCAGTACACAAAGGTTTCTCTGCACGAACTGATTAAGAAAGACCATTGGAGCATGATCTGTAAAGGTTAATACTTAGTATATTTTATTACAAGAGTATTACAAGAGTATGACAGCGTAGTGGTCATGTTACTGGACTACTAACCCAGGTACATGGTTTAATGATCTGGAACTATGAGTTCAAATCTTACTAAGGCAACTGGAAAATTTAAATTCAATTAATTACATAAACCTGGAATCAAAAAAACTAACTTCAGTATTGGTACTTGTGAAACTACTCAAATGTCATAAAAAATGTATCTAGTTCACTCCTATCCTTTTGGGAAGATAAATGGTTGTCCTTGCCCCAGCTGATATGTTTGTAATTTCAGATGTCCAGCAATGTGGTGGACTCTTAACTGTTCTCTGAAATAACTTAGCAAGCACTCGGTTCTGCAAATAGTGAAGGATAATAAATGCCACTGATGCCTGCATCCTGTCAATGAACTTTTTAAGAAATTTAATTATGTTTCAAAGCTACCTTTTTTGTATTTTGAGCACTAAGGATATAAGTGTGAAGAATGGCTTTCTTTCCCTGGAGATTTGTAGTCTATGAAGCATGCATTTGTAACCGAGCAATAAGTCCCTCAAGGAGAAGGATTATCCAAGTTCCGTTCTTGAACTGCTAACGTTTAATGGTATTTTCTCACAGACAAACACAGTCATGTTCCCCAACACCAATCAGGAGACAACCCACATGGAGCAGATCATCTTTGGTATGCTTACTATCACCAGTACTATATGTGGCATTGGATAGCAATGATTAATTAAACAGGGTCTTATTTAACCTTCTAATTTATATCTTATTTTGTAAAATGTTTCCTGTAATCACAATCCTGTAGATAATTCTCATGTTTTAAGCATCAGAAGTTTAGATGTTGTTTTCTTTTACTTTTTCTCTAAACATAAACACTTAGAAAATATTAGATTTTTATTTCCTTTTGCTACATTAAAAGATTGTCTCACAAATTGTTTTATATTTCAGTTAGTTTGTCTCCTGATCCCCTTTGGATTTAATTTACTGGAAAATATTCTAAGAAAGATTCCACCCATGATTCTTGTGTTAATTAGAAGTAAAAGACAGATAAAATTGATGTAACAAGATGATGAATATTTTTATTATGTTTTGTTAAGATAAGATTTATTTGCTAAATATGCCAGAAGGGATGGTATCAAAATGGCATGAACTTGTTTGGGACAACTTTTGTTAACTGCCCAGTTAATTGAATGGAAAATCAGGATCAGCGGAAATGGCTGTTTTTACCCTTCTTCACTCAGGGGTACTGCAGTCACCTATCCTGCCATCTCTGCTGAGATCAATTGATTTGGCACACATAAAGGCCTGTTTTACTGGCCTAAAACCAACACCAAAGAGTCAGGTATGGTGGTGGGGACTAGCAGATACCCATTTCACAGTGGAAGCGTGCCACCCATCCTAACAGTATTGGAGTCCATGGCTTATGCCTGGAACAGATTTTGAGCCCTTTGAATTCAAATGATGAAGCGAGTGCAGGGAGGCTTAAAGCTACTCGGTGTTTAACCACGGAATGTGCTGTACAATCTGTGGTCAGTATTCTCAGTGCCTGGCAACTAAACCAAGCCTGTCTGTGGAAAGCGCTTTATTTTACAATCAACTCCTGTATCCGTATTAAGTTAAGGATCCTGTGCTTGCGTCGTTTCAATAGAAATCCTTCCACCTCTTCCTTCTGTCCTACAATCTGTCCTGCTTCGGAAATCTGGGCCAGCCACTTGTAGTGTTTTCTGAAACTCGATCGTGATTGATACAAATTTCCCATGAACTTGCCACTAGCTTCAATAAGCATGAGTATTAGGTGTTGCACTGGGATTGCTAATTTGGGAGCTCTTGATTTGTTTAACTCAATGAATTACTTGCCTTTCCCAAATGAATCATCAGAGCAAGACTTTTAACAAAATTAATTCTTGTATCTCCCCATCCTTGGCTCACGATTCTCTAGAAATTATTTGCATAAGTAAATTCCAGTTTCAAAATTTGTGTTGATTTATGTATTACCAGAAATTTCTACCAATGGTGTAAGACTGGATAATATTTAAAATCACATCTTTGGATTTTAAGCAGCTGTTCTTATCATAATCAGAGAACAAATGTGTGATTCAATTTTCAGTCAAGTACTTTTGTTAATTCATGATCCTCACCAGCTTGGTAGTTTATATTAAAAGTGTTATAGTTCAGCACCTGTCCAAATTTCTCCTCAGGACATGGTGAATCTGATAAGATTCACTTATTGTCCACTCACCAATTGATCTGAGCTAGTGAAGGCCAAAGTCATTTGTGGCTGCATTACTTGTATTAATGGCACTTCTGTGGGATTTTTACCAGAGTTATGTCAATGGAATAAAAGAAATGGAAAGGAAATTCACCCTCTAGCAATTAAAACAGTATGTTTGCTTACAGTGAAGGTTCCAAGAATATGTAATCTTCCAGGAAATAACATTCTAATTTTTCTCAATTTCTGATTCGCTTTATGTCCTGTTTCAGCAGTTGTTTTATGTTTCCAATAGATGAAGAACCCCATCCAGCTCACAATTTATTGAACCATAACAAACCTGTCAACTTAATTTCAAACATTAATGTCATTAGGGCTAAGGGAAGAGAGAGATCACCTCTGATATAATGACAATATAATGGATTTAATTTTCAAAAGTGTTTAATGTTAAATACTGTCAATTTTCATATTTGCTCCTGAAAGACATTACAGTATGAAATTAATAGCTGTACTAATGTGCTTATGTGCTAATAGTCCTACTTCTCATTTTCATATAATTTTTATTGCTTGATTTTAGCCAAGGCAACAACCATTTATTATGTCACCAATGCACGTTCAATATGGAGAGCATTATACTGAAACAAACACCTCGCAAGGTACTTCTCTTATTTTGTTTCCAAATGTCTAGTATATCTTGGCTTATTTCTAGTGGTGGCATTACTGTTGGAACAGTGCTGGAAGCCAATGTTATGGCCCAAATGAAGCTTATTATAACGGTTCTAAAGAAGGGTCACCGGACCCGAAACTCTGCTGTCTTTCCAGAGATAATGCCAGACCTTCTGAGTTTTTGCAACAGTCTCAATTTTGTTTCTGATTTCCAGCATTCACAGTCCTTTGGGTTTGTTGAAGCTCTGCAATTGAATGGCTATCAAAATAACTCAATGATGTTCATCATTTTTGTTCAATCTTAATTATGCAACAATTTTGGAAGGTGGGTGGAGAAAAGGTGGAAAAGAAAAGAACATGTGACTAGATTAAATTGGATTACTAGGAAAGACTGGTCTCTTGTTCATTACATCAGTTGTTGCTGGTGCAAAGCTTATTTGAATTAAGTATGTGTTTAGCTTTATTCTGTTCTGTTTTATGTGTTCTAAATGTATATTGTTAGTTATACATTGAGCATACGCATTTGCATCAATTATCATGAGACGATGCCTTATTCATACCATTGGCATATGAATAATTCTTCCTGTAAGTCAGCTGCAGTGGAAGTAAGCATGTTTTATTACACACAAACATGGGAATTAGGATCTGGAATAGGCCACTCAGCTCTTTAAGCCCTCCCCATCACTCAGTAAGAACATTATTTGATTTTGACCTCAACCCTGCAATCCTTCCTACCCCGGTAACCTTTTACCTCTTTGCTTATCATGAATCTATCTGCCTCTGTCTTAGAATATTCAAACATTCTGCCTCCACCACCATTTGATGAAGAGAGTTCCAAAGACACTGGCCACTTTGAGAGAAACAATTTTCCTTATCTCTGTCTTAAATGGACAACTCTTAACTTTTAACCAGTGATTCTCCCACAAGGGGAACGGTCCTCTCCACATCAATCCAATGTTTCAATCAAGTCACTTCTCATTCTTCCAAAGTCTAATGGATATGAGCCAAGCCTGTCCAGCCTTCCTTCATAAGAGGACTTAATGCCTCCAGGTATTAGTCTAGTAAACTTTCTTGAAATGCCTTCTACTCATTTACATTTTAGCTTAAGTAGAGAGACCAGTACTGTACACAGTACTCCAGATGTGCTCTCATTTATACCCTGTACAGCCAAAGCATATCCTCCCTATTTGTGTACTAACTTCCCCCCCACAATAAATGTTGTGGCACAGATTGAGTATATAAAGCTAGTGATTTTATTGTAGACTGAGATATCATCTCTGTGACCTTTGAATTAGTAAAGCTTTAAATTGCTGCCTTTTAATCATAATTTTTAATTGTCTACGCTTTATTTTAGATAGCATTTACCATGGCAATGAGGAAAGATTCTACTGCAGATCTCAGTCTAGTTTGGACAGATGTCCAATGGAATATAATTACATGAATGGAACTGTGCCAAATGGCAGTGTGTATAGTGCTTCTAGCATGAACTCATTGAATCATTCACAAAACTTCATCCAGGCATCGCCAGTGTCCTCTAACCTCAGCATTCCTGGAAGTGACATCATGCGTGCAGATTACATCCCCAGCCACAGGCACAGTGCTATCATTGTGCCCTCATATAGGCCTACGCCTGACTATGAGACTGTAATGAGGCAAATGAAACGAGGCGTCATTCATATGGATTGTCAAAGTCAGTCATTGAGAAACCTTAATATTGGAAATACTCATGCATACAATCAGCCGGAACCTATGGTTTACAGTCAACCAGAGATCAGGGAGCGATCACAATATCCCTCTCGATATGGGTCAAAGCACAGTTACAACAAACCTGTAGCCGCTTCTGCTCAACAAAATGCCAGCCATCCAACATCTACCCGACCAGCAAATAGTGCAATCTCACACACAGTAAGCACACCAGAGCTTGCCAATATGCAGTTACAAGGTACTCAGAATTACAGTACTACCCACATGTTGAGAAACCATTTTTGTAGACCACCCCCTCCGTATCCACGTCCTCGGCCTGCCACCAGTACGCCAGACCTTGCCAGTCACCGCCATAAGTACGTTAGTGGCAGTAGCCCTGATTTAGTCAGTCGACGAGTCCAGCTCTTTGTGAAAACATTTCAAGAAGACAGTTCACCTGTCGTGCACCAGTCCTTGCAGGAAGTCAGTGAACCCCTCACAACAGCCAAACATCATGCAGCTGTTAACAAACGTCACAGCCTAGAGGTAATTAGCAGCATGGTACGAGGTATGGAGGCCATGGCATTGAAAACTTTAAGTGCTTCAGTCCCTCAGCGTAGGAACACCATGCGTGACCAACGGTGTCAAGATGACCAAGTCCAAGAGGCTCAACAGCAACCTTCGTTTCATCACAAGAAGACCTTGTCAGATGCCACAATGCTAATTCACAGCAGTGAAAGTGAAGATGAAGAAGAGACCCCTGACTATGATGTCCAAATACCAACATTTAATGACAATATGGACTATCGAGCCCAGCTGCAGGCAGCATTGGCAAAAATACCAAACAAACCCCCTCCTGAATACCCAGGAAACAAAAAAAGTATAAGCAATGGAGCCTTAAGACAGGAACAAGCTAAAATTTCAGAGTTTATTATCAGGACCAAACTGCCAGGTCCTGAACTGGATACATTCTTACGTAATGAACAGATGACACTTAATGGGTCATCGCTCGGGCCGTCCATTTCTGAGCCTGATCTCACCAGTGTGAAAGAGCGTGTCAAAAAGGAGCCAGTCAAAGAAAGACCTGTATCAGAACTGTTTTCTACTGAAGATAGCATTGTGGAAAGGGAAATCATGTTGAGGGTAATTCTTTTTACTTTTAATATCACTGATGTATATTTATGCAATCAGAAAAAAAGCTGGTTTAGAATTTAGTTTTGATTAATTATATCAATTACATTTCAATCACAAAGGATTAGAGATACCATGACTCATATCCATATTGTATAGCTAAAGATTATAAAATATCTTTTGTTGCATGAAGAGATATTTAATTATTTCTATTAACAGAGAATTCAGTGTGTTGTGTTTCTGCAGAAAAAAATGAACAATCATATTATGATTCCCTTAAAGTTGGTGATACAGAACATAGAACAGTACAACACAGTACAGGCCCTTCGGCCTACCATGTTGTGCCGACCTATTATACTAAGATCAAACTACCCTGCATACCCTACATTTTACTATCCTCCATGTGCCTATCCAAGAGTCGCTTAAAAGTCTCTAAAGTATCTGACTCTACTACCACTGCCGGCAGCGCATTCCACACACCCACCACTCTCTGTGTAAAGAACCTAGCTCTGACATCTCCCCTATACCTTCCTCCAATCACCTTCAAATTATGCCCCCTCGTAATAGTCATTTCCGCCCTGGGAAAAAGTCTCTGGCTATCCACTCTATCTATGCCTCTCATCATCTTGTAAACCTCTATCAAGTCACCTCTCATCCTTCTTCAGTCCAATGAAAAAAGCCCTAGCTCTCTCAACCTTTTTCTCATAAGACTTGCTCTCCAGTCCAGGCAGCATCCTGGTAAATCTCCTCTCCACCATCTCTAAAGCTTCCACATCCTTCCTATAATGAGGCAACCAGAACTGAACGCAATATTCCAAGTGTGATCTAATGAGGGTTTTATAGAGCTGCAGCATAACCTTGCGGCTCTTAAACTCAATTCCCCTGCCAATGAAAGCCAACACACCATGCGCCTTCTTTACAACCCCATCAACTTGGGTGGCAACTTTGAGGGATCTATGGACGTGGACCCCAAGATCCCTCTGTTCCTCCACACTGCCGAGAATCCTGCCATTAACCCTGTATTCTGCATTCAAATTCGACCTTCCAAAATGAATCACTTCACACTTTTCTGGGTTAAATTCCATCTGCCACTTCTTTTCCCAGCTCTGCATCCTGTCAATGTTCCACTGCAACCTACAACAGCCCTCCACGCCGTCCACAACTCTACCAACCTTCGTGTCATCGGCAAACTCACTAACCCACCCTTCCACTTCCACATCCAAGTCATTTATGAGGATCACAAAGAGCAGAGGTCCCAGAACAGATCCCTGCGAAACACCACTGGTCACCGAGCTCCAGGCTGAATATTTTCCATCTACTACCATCCTCTGTCTTCTATTGGACAACCAGTTTTGTATCCAGACAGCCAAAATTCCCAGAATCCCATGCCTCCTTACTTTCTGAATGAGCCTACCATGGGGAACCTTATCAAACGCCTTGCTAAAATCCATATACACCACATCATCTGCTCTGCCTTCATCAATGTGTTTTGTCACATCCTCAAAGAATACAATAAGGCTTGTGAGACATGACCTGCCCCTCACAAAGCCAAGCTGACTATTTCTAATCAAACTGTGCTTTTCCAAATAATCATAAATACTATCTCTCAGAATCCTCTCCAATAATTTGCTCACCACAGAAGTAAGACTGGCTGGACTGTAATTCCCAGGATTATCCCTATTCCCTTTCTTGAACAAAGGAATGACATTTGCCACCCTCCAATCTTCTGGTACTACTCCAGTGGACAGTGAGGACGCAAAGATCATTGCCAAAGGGGCACTCATCTCTTCCCTCACTTCCTGTAGAAACCTTGGGTATATCCTATCTGACCCAGGAGACTTATGTATCCTCATGTTTTTCAAAATTTCAAAATTCCTCCTTCCTAACATCAACCTGTTCAAGCATATCTGCCCGTTTCACGCTGTCCTCAGCAACATCAAGGTCCTTCTCACTGCTGATTACTGAAGCAAAGTATTCATTAAGGACCTCCCCTACCTCCTCTGACTCCACGCACAAGTTCCCTCCACTATGCCTGATCGGCCCTACCCTCACTCTGGCCATCCTGTTTTTCCTCACATAAACATAGAATGCCTTGGGGTTTTCCTTGATCCTACCCGCTAAGGATTTTTCATACCCCCTTCTAGCTCTCCTAAGTCCATTCTTCAGTTCCTTCCTGGCTACCTTGTAGACCTCTAGAGCCCTGTCCGATCATTGCTTCCTCATCCTTAAGTAAGCTTCCTTCTTCCTCTTGACTAGGTGTTCCACATGTCTTGTCATCCAAGGTTCCTTCACCTTACCATCCTTTCCTTGCCTCAGTGGGACAAACCTATCCAGTACCTGTAGCAACTGCTCCCTAAACAACCTCCACATTTCTGTCATGCATTTCCCTGAGAACATCTGATCCCAATTTATGCTCTGCAGTTTTTGCCTAATAACATTGTAATTCCCCCTCCCCCAATTAAATACTTTCCTACACCGTCTGCTCCTATCCCTCTCCATGACTATAGTAAAGGTCAGGGAGTTGCGATCGCTATCACTGAAATGCTCTCCTGCCGAGAGATCCGACACCTGGCCTGGTTCATTGCCAAGCACCAAATGCAATATGGCCTCCCTTCTAGTCAGCTTGTCCACATATTGGGTCAGAAATCCTTCCTGGACACACCTGACAAAATCTGCTCATCCATATCTTCATTTAAAATATTAAAATCAAATCCACATCTTATACAAGGAAAGTTGTCTTCCTGGGTTTAAAGACAACCTGTTTTGAAAACTCTTTGCCTTATCTCCATTTCTTTAAAATCCAAAGTCATTTAGTTCAATTAATTATTCTAATTCAACTAAATGAAACCACTGTGCGACGCCAAAACCTTTTTCATTCCTATTTCTGGTATATTCATTTGCTGATATGGTGAAAAATGGCACTTAATTTTCTAAAGTTTAACATTTGATAAATAGAACAGAATTTTGTGGATTTTTGCAGTAAAAAGAATGCTATTTGTCGTGGTCACCTGGTTCAATACCTTTGTTAAGCCAATTGTTGAAAGGTAAAAATTTGAATTTTTCCTTTTGAATATCAGTACCAATGACGTTAGCATTTCTTCTCCCCATCCAAAGAATTTAGAAAAGCAGAAACTGGCAGCAGCAGAAGCCCAAAAGATAGGGCCACTGAAGTGGGCGGCACTCAATGGACTCTCAATGGCCAGGGTTCCAGTGCTCGAGGACAGTCAAGATGACTCTTCAAAAGTCCCAATGGACGAAAGGGTGAGCATACTTCAAGCAGTGAAAGAAATTGTACTGTTTAGAGGAATAATCTTCCTGTTTGCAACCTTCTTATGTTGCTCAATTCAACTTGTTTGTAAATTCATAGACTCAGGAGTGAACATGATCCACATATTACTTCAGACAAAAGCAGAAATAGTAACATCAGTAGTTCACATTGATCATATAATGTTCAGAGGAATCATCCTGCTTGTCATTTGCTAAATATGTCATGATTGTCTCTGATTTATAATTGAGATGAGGCGATAGCATACGTTGGAGATAATGCAAATGTCAAGTAAACTTAGGAACTTTTTCACAAGATCATCAGAGATTATGTTAAAATATGATGGAAGTGTTTAAAGCCATGAAAGGATGAGACAAGCTTATATAATCGCAGACCCAGTCATTTAACAGCCTTAGATACAAGACTTAATGAAAGAGATTTACGATATCTCTATAGAGTGAGTCAAGAATGTAAAATTTACTTCCAGGGTTAGTCATGGAGGTAGAATCCAAGTAAACCACTGAAAGTTAAATTGGATAATGGAAAGGATGGTTATGGTAACTGGCATCATAGCTGACATTGGGACTATTTCTTTGAATAGAGAGTAAACTGTAATGTGGATCAGTTATGTAAAATACTTTGCATTGGTGTTATAGTTTTTGTATATGTATTCTTTGTATATCTGTATGTCTCTACATGTAAATATTGCATAAAATGTTAAGCTGTGCAGCAGTTGCAAAACAACAAGTTTTCCCTCCTGTTATAAATTATTTGATCTTTACTCTGCTCCTCCGTTACATAATGTGCTGTTTTAATTAAGATTGATAACCAGGAATGATTAAAAAGTTGTAATCTTTATCTACTTATAGCACAAGCTGATTCATAGTACTGGATTTGAATATCTGAAACCCATTCATGTTGTTATTTTTATTGACGTTATCCCTCTGGCTCTTACTAGTTTTTTTTCACCAAGGCTTGTGTCCCCTGGCTGACCTATTGATGCAACCATGTAGAGCTCATTTGATAAGTCCCATTTGTCAGTAAAATGTCTTAAGAATATTTTTTCTTTCTTTAATGGGATCAGGCTGTCACTGCCAAAGACAGTATGTTTTGTCCATCCCTAACTGCCTTTGAATGGAGTGCTTGCTATGCATTTCAGAGAGCGGTTAAGAGTGAACTACTTGCTATGGGTTTTGAGACGTACGTAGGCCAGACCAGGTAAAGATCACCGATAACCTTAAGGACATTAGTGAACCACTTGGGTTTTGGAACAATCAATGTTAGTCACAGACAATGAAGGCAATATTTTGGAATACACAGAATAGATTCAATCCAACAATAAAGAAATATTCCTTGCGGAGGATCCAATATCTATGGTTCACTAAAAATGTTAAAGGTTATGTTGAATTTTAAGGAAAAAAGACATAATTGCACAAAGAAGGGTGGCAGGTCAGAAGACTGGGCAGGATGCAAAACACAGAAAGGAATGACTGAAAGATTAAACAGGAGGGAAATCCAAATGATTGGCTGTTGGTTTACACTATACAAATGCAAGTAACATCTCGGAAATAGCTGTCAATCAAGAACTGGAAGGGAAGGAGGAACTCAAGAAAATTACAATCATCAAGGAAATACTACTTATCAGGTTATTGGAACTACAGGCCAACAAGTCCCCAGGTTCGGATGTTTACATTCTAAGGTCTCAATTACTGTGGATAGTGTGATAATGTTGTGTTAGTTTTAATTTTTCAGAATTCATTAGATTTGGAAAAGGTTCCATAATATGGAAAGTAGTTAACATAGCCCCTTTATTCAAAAATGAAGGAACGCAGAAAGCAAGAAATGATAGGCCAGTTTGCATTTTGAGGAAGAAAGTTGCAAAGATTCACAATCTTCTGAGGAAAAAAAATCTCCTCGTCTCAGCCTTCAATAAGTGACCTTAATTTTTAAACAGTGACCCCAATTTTTAAATTTTCCCACAAGAGGAAACATCCTTCCCACAATCCCACATCCACCCTGTTGAGCCCACTCAGTATCTATTATGTTTCAATCAAGTCACCTCGTACTCTTCTAAACTCCAATGAATCCAAGCCTAACCTGACCAGCCTTTCCTCAAAAGATGACTACCTATTCCAGGGATTAGTCTAGAATGCTTTCTCTGAACTGTCTCCAATGTATTTACATACTTCCTTAAATAGGGAGGTGAATACTGTGCACAGTACTCCAGATATTTTTTTCATTCATTTGTGGGACATGGGCATTGCTGGCTGGCCAGCATTTATTGCCCATCCCTATTTTCCCTTGAGAACGTGGTGGTCGGTCCATCTGCAGTGGGTTGACCCATAATGCCATCAGGGAAGGAATTCCAGGATTTTGACCCAGTAACAGTGAAGGAACGGCGATATATTTCCAAGTCAGGATGGTGAGTGGCTTGCCACTCCCCTAGCCAAGCTGTTCCAGTACAGTTACAACACGAGTATCTACCCAACAATGTGGAGAATTGCCCAAATCTGCCCTGCACACAAAAAGCAGGATAAATCCAACCCGGCCAATTACCGCCCCATCAGTCTACTCGCAATCATCAGTAAAATGATAGAAAGCATCATGAAACAGTGCTATCAAGCAGCATCTGCTCAGCAAGTTCTGGAGCCCAAGTCTTCACTACTTCTTGCCAGAATGTTTTCAGGGCCAGTAGCCTTTGCAGTATCCAGTGTCTCCAACTGTTTCTTAATACCACATGGAGTGAATCGAATTGGCTGAAGACTGGTACCTGTAATGCTGGGGACCACTGGAGGAGGCTGAGATGGATCATCCACTTGGCACTTCTGGCTGAAGATTGCCATGAATGCTTCAGCCTTATATTTTGCACTGATGTGCTGGACTCTTCCGTCATTGAGGCTGGGGATATTTGTGGAGCCTCCTCCTCCAGTGAGTTGTTTAATTGTTCACCGCCATTCACGATTGGATGTGGCAGGACTGCAGAGCTTCGATCTGATCCCTTGGTTGTGGGATCGCTTAGCTCTGTCTATCACTTGCTGCTTTCACTTTTTGGCGTGCATGTACTCCTGTTTCATGGCTTCACCAGGTTGATACCTCATCTTCAGGTATGCCTAGTGCTGATCCTGCCATGCCCTCCTGCACTGTCCGTTGAACCAGGGTTGATCCCCTGACTTGATAGTAATTGTTAAGTGGGGGATATGCCGGGCCACAGATAGTGCTGAGTACAATTTCGCTGTTTTAATGGCCCACAGCGCCTTATGGGTGCCCAGCCTTGAGCTGCTATATCTGTGCAAAGTCTGTCCCATTTGGCATGATGATAGTGCCACACAACATGATGGAAGTTATTCTCGATGTGAACTTCTTACCGATACTGTCATGGACAGTTGCAACTGCAGCTGGCAGATAGGTATGGATGAGTCAATTATGTTTTTGCCCCTTGTTCGTTCCCTCACCATCTGCAGCAGACATAGTCTAGCAGCTATGTCCTTTAGGACCCGACCAGCCTGATCTGTAGTATTGCTGCCAAGCCGCTGTAGGTGGTGGACATTGAGATACCCCACCCAGAGTACATTTTGTGCCCTTGTTGTCCTCAGTGCTTCCTCCAAGTGTTGTTCAACATGGAGGAGTACTGATTCATCAGCTGAGGGAGGACGGTATGTGGTAATCAGCGAGAGGTTTCCTTGCCCATGTTTAACCTGAAGCCATGAGATTTCATGGGATCCGGAGTCAATGCTGAGGACTCCTAGAGCAACACCCTCCTGACTGTATACCACTGTGCCACCACCTCTTCTGGGTCTGACCTGCTGGTGGGACGGGACATATCCAGGGATGGTGACAGTGGTGTTTGGGACATTGTCTGTAAGGTATGATTCCGTGAGTATGACTATGTCAGGCTGTTGCTTAACTAGTCTGTGAGACAGCTCTCCCAATTTTGGCACTAACCCCTAGATGTCAGTGAGGAGGGCTTTTGCAGGGTTGACCCGTCTGTTTCTGCCGCTGTCTGTTCTGGTGCCTTGGTCGATGCCAGGTGATCCATCTGGTTTCATTTCTTTGAGACTTTGTAGCGATTGGTACAACTGAGTGGCTTGCTAGGCCATTTCAGACAGCAATTGAGAATCAACCACATTGCCGTGGGTCTGGAGTCACATGTAGGCCAGACCAGGTGAAGATGGCTGTCTTCCTTCCCTGAAGGACATTAGTGAACCAGATGGGTTTTTCCGACAATCGGCAATGATTTCATAGTGATCAGTAGATTCTTAATTCCAGACTTTTTTTTTAATTATCGAATTCAAATTCCACCATCGGATTTGAACATGGGTCTCTAGAACGTTAGCTGGTTTCTGGATTAATAGACTAGCGATAATACCACTAGGCCATCGCCAATCCTATATGTTCTCTCAAGTGCCCTTTATAACTGAAGAATAACCTCCCTATTTTGATATTCAATTTTTCTTGCAATAAACTGCATTGTATGTACTTTCTGAACTACTTGCTGTGCCTACACACTAACCTTCTCTTTCTCATGTATTTGGCAGCCAGGTCCCTTTGCATCTCAGAGCTCTGCAATCTCTTACCATTGTGATAATGTGTTAGTCTTTTTTAGTTTGCTTGTCGAAATGGACAGTTGCTTTTTGGCTTAGGGTGGAAGCGCTCCCAATGTTGCAAATAAAATATTTTCCAGATTGGTGCTTTTTTATCCCTGCCCCACTCTTCTGTCTTTTTATCTTTATTTTGAATCCTTATGAAAACATTAGCAAATGAAAGCTCAGTCCGAAGGAGTATCTTGTAGCCTTGAACAAATTACTTTTTTATTATTATTATCTTTTGGATAAGTGTTGGTATGAGAGACATGTCATTCCAAAGCCAACTCAAATACTTCACAACATGTTTTACTTTTTATTCCTTTTTAGGCAGTATTTCTTATTGGTTACATCAGATTTCTGGGCTGCATAAAGGCATAGCTATTAATGAAAATAATTGCTGTGTCTTCTCTCCCTTTTCCATTTGATCTGCAATATTAGTTTGAATCTAGGCTTGTCAACACACTAAACAATTAAAAAGTGCATTTATTATAGCCCATTATTCAAGGAAAATAGTTGCATTAGCAAAAACCTCTGAGCTGTAAGAGTACCTGCTATTCCTTGTTTGCCTTCAAATGTAATGCGACAAAAGAGGGTGTGAGGTAGTGATGGTTTCACATAAAATGTTGTAAGACTTT